GCTTCTTTGGAGAATCATTGCATCCATCTGCTCCCAGCCCAGCCCAGCCCTGGCCAGGGCCCCTTGGTCCGACCCAGCACCTGCTGTTTGCCATGAAACAGGGACACAGGTCTCTAACTCAGGCTGCTGTGTCGGCAGCGTCCAGGCTGATGGAGTCAGTTGTCCTCAGAGGTTGTTTTCCTGTGGGGGTCCTCAGGTGAGGGTGTGCTTCAGAATCACAGGGGGCTTGTTCGGATCCCCCCAGAGTCTGAGAAGAACAACTGACCCTGTCTACTGGCCTCCTTTCATGGATGAGGAAACTGAGACCGGGGAGTTCAATGCATTGGTCTATCAGTGGGGCTACGGCCACTTGTTCAGGGGGTGGAGGGGATTTCCGAGCAATTCCCTTGGGATATCCGGGAGCACGTGCAGGGAGAGCCCCCCTACATCCTTTCTGTGTCCTGCAGCAGGGCACCCACCAGGCTGATGACCTGTGAGGCTGGCTGGACCGTGTCATACTCCGCGAAGAGGTGGCACACATTCTCCTGTGAGTTGGTCTGGCTCTTGGCCACAAACCCAAAGATCCTGGTGGGAGAGGACAGCCTGAGTGAGGAGGGGGCCCCAGAGAGGCACCAGGTGGGGAGGGGGAAACTCAGCCCACAGTACTCCACCCTGTCCCTTCCCTAGCCAAGTGGCCCCGGCACCTCCCTACAATGGGAGCTCTTTGGGAAGGGATGTATGGGTCTCCCCTGCCAGACTGGGAGATCCCTGTGTTCAAGATCTGGGTTTTCATCATTTTGAAATTGGGCCCCCTGGGCACAGAGAGGACCTGTGTATTCCCCATTAGAGTGGGGAGAGCAAGGACATGTTTTGGCCACCAGACAGGAGCCTCCCTACAGATTAAGGATCCCCGAAGTCAGAGCCCTGCCTCCCCCATCAGACTGGAGACTCCCTGAGGGCCAGGGCCTGTGCTGCCCCCATCAAAACCATGGGCTCTTAAGGGAAGGTGGGGCCTCCCTCCTTCTCTAATTCCCTCCCCATGTCGGGTTGGGGGCCCTGCCTCAGGGAGACTGACTGAGCAGACAGGAAGGCCTTACCAGGAGGGCTTGCAGTACTTCTGCCACCTGTGGGAGGGAACGCGGGCAGTAGTGAGTACTGAGGCTTTGCTCCATGCCATGGACTCCAGCTAGCTGGGGGAGGATGGCCAGCTGTGTCCCCACCCCCACCGTACCCTGCCTTCCCCTCCTCCTGTTGCTCCTGGCCCCTGAGGTTCACAGGCTCTGTCTGGGATCCCAATCGAGAGCCAGACAGAAGCTTCAGCGTCACCTCGGCCCTGTACAGCCTTCTCCATCTGGTCCAACCTTGAACTTACTTGCGTTGCTCGGGGTCCATGCCACAGAAGCGGAGGGTGCTGAGGGGGTAATGGCGCCGGAAAAACACCCTGGGAGAAGGCAGGAGGGAAGGGGAACTGGTAAGAGCCCATCCCAGGGTGTTCTAGCCCCTGTGTGCTCCCCACCCACTATGTCTGAGGATAGGAATTACGTCTTGGTCATCTTTGTTTCTCCAGCCCAGGACCAGGCTCCTGCTCTAGACTGTAAATCCCTGAGCCCAGGGAAGGCAGGACCGTATCCCACTGAGTCCCAGTGGTCAGCCAGAGCGGCTGTGGATGTTCTATCCGTGGGGACAGACTTAGTCAATGACCAATGAATGCTGGTTGAGTCCATCTGCATCAGTCACAGTGAAAGGACACTTTGGTGGCAGGAGGTCATGGGAGGGAGGCTCAATGAAGGCAGAGGATTTGCCTGAAGTCACTCAGCATGTCATGGACCCCGCTGCGTCCTGGACACTGAACTCTGCCTTCCTCACTGATCCATAACCACCTTGGCCATCCCCTCCAGCTCATCCTGCCCAGCCCCACCACCCCAGGGGAAGGGAAGTCCCTTACTTCCTCTGGACGTCGGTCAGGGTGATGCCCTGCTCCGTGACTTTGAAGTGGACCACAGTGGGCGTGGGGAGGACGTCCCTCTCCAAGATGGTTGAGATGGCCTTCTGCACAGCCAGGGCTCCTGTCAGGGTCTCCACACTTACAGAGCTCAGGTACAGAACATGGCAGCCTGTGGGATGCAGATATTGCACTGGGGCCCTGCCAGGATCCATGGGATGGGCGAGGTCACCCAGGCCCTCGTCCTTTCTCTGCCCAGAGCCAGGGGACGGGGTAAGCCTTTCTTCAGAAATCCAGGAGGTCTCCTCTTTGAGCCACCAGGCAGATGGACAGAGGCTGTGTGGGTGACTGTGATTTGCGGCCCACCCCGGAGGACTCTGGGATCATTTGTTGCTTAGCACTGCCCAGGCCCCCGGCCTTCCAGGCTGGGGAGTGGGTAAGGGAGGGAATGTTGCCTGGGTGTAGGGACGTCCAGGCAAACCTTCCTTCTGTCCTGGCCTGTGGCTGGTGCTGCTTCCACCTCCACCCGCCCTTGGAGCCCTGGTTCATTGTTGAGAGAAGCAAGAGAAGGCAAGAATGGGGAGGGGACCAGTGTGCTCAGGGGCACAGAATTGGAGCTGTCACTCAGATCAGTGCTGATCTGTGATTGGCCTCTGGATGTGAGGAGGCGGGACCTTCCCCTATGGAAACCCCAAGACCCCACAGAGGATGGCAGACACAGGACAGCCTCCAGAGCAGCACTGTAGAGACCCCAGAACGTCTGCATGTGCCAAGAAAGTGGAGGATGGGGTGTAAGCCTCGCCAACCCCCTCCTCTCGGGCCCCTCTTCCCCTTGGCCTACTCCCTGCAGCCTCTGATCTCCTGGTTTACAGAGAGGGGAAGGAATGTGGCACCTTGTTAAAGATGAAGAAATACAGCTGTGATGGGAAACACGTGTGGACATGCGTGTGCGTGCAGGGCTGGGAGGCGCCCTCCGGGGGTACAGCCAAGCCTGGAGCCTCCCACACACCACTCACCCGCAGATCTCGCAGATCTCTTCAGGCCAGAGGCCCTGCTGTCTGTAGGGGCGTCTGAGGCTCCCTCTCCGCCTCCCAATTCTGAGCCAAAGTAAAGGAACAGGCCCCGAGGGGCCGGGGGTGGAGTGAATGGACCCCTCTCAGAAGAACAGGCCTCACAATCCCTTTGAACATCTCCACCCCCACCCACGCCTCCAGGAAGTGACTGGAGGAGAAACCAGGTGTGATTACCGTAATCAGGCAAAGGGGGGTGCACTTTGGGCTGCCCAGCCAGCGCCCAGCTTGCAAGCCCTTTGATCCTGCTTCCCCTCCTCACTCCTCCCTCCTCCCTGGACAGCTGCAGTGACCCCCCCGCCCCACTTCTTTCCGGCCCACACCAACCCCAGGCCTTTCTTTGCTGAAAATAGGGAGACTGTCACCCTCACTCTACCAGAGGCTCCCTCATTCTTTCTTTCTTTTTTTTTTTTTTAAAAACACCCCTCTCCACCCCCTCACTTCTTTCCGGTCCACACCAGCCCCAGGCCTTTCTTTGCTGAAAGTAGGGAGACTGTCGCCCTCACTCTACCAGAGGCTCCCTCATTCTTTCATTCTTTCTTTCTTTTTTTTTTTTTTTAAAAAATACTTTATTGATTTTTTACAGAGAGGAAAGGAGAGGGATAGAGAGTAAGAAACATCGATGAGAGAGAAACATCGATCAGCTGCCTCCTGCACACTCCCTACTGGGTATGTTCCTGCAACCAAGGTACATGCCCTTGACCGGAATCGAACCCGGGACCCTTGAGTCCGCTCTGTCCACTGAGCCAAACCGGTTAGGGCAACTCCCCCATTCTTGCTTCCTCTCCCAGAAGCCCCCTTGCTGCTCCCCCTGCACACCCGAGAGGAGATGGCCTGCTCCATCGGGGGTGCAGCTGGGCTCTGAACTCTGGAGGGGGCTTCCTGATCTGGGCGTGAGGTCTGACTCTGCCTTTGAGCGAGTTACTTAACGCCCACCACCCGGCTTTTCTTATCTGCGAAAGGGGAATAACAGCAGCATCTACTGCACAGGCTGCAGCGAGCTATGGGTGAATGAGGGAGTGCTCAGTAAATGTTAGACCTGGAAGAAAAAACCCCAAACCTCCCCAAACTGGGGGATGAGTGCTCCTTTCATCCTCTCAACGAAAGTTGCTATTTCTCAAACATCCACTCGGTGCCAGGCATCGTGCTAAGAGCCTGCCCTGAATGATCTCATTTTATCCTCACACCAGTCCGGTAGGTAGGTATGATGATGGCTGTCCCCATTTCACAGATGAGAAAACTGAGGCTCAGAGAGAGAAACATTCTCACAGCTAGGAAGCGGAGATGTTGACGGGGCCTCGGAGCTTGCGCTGCTGCCATTAACTGTGACACTAACATAATCCACGTGTAAGGAGAGACGAGCAACTAGGAGCCTTTCTAGTGAGAACAAGCAGCCCCGTGCCCTGATGTTGCCTCCGTGGGGCCCAGACCCACCTTTCTGCGGAATGGTGAGTTTGCAGGGCAGGGCCAGGGGCATGATGGAATGCTGGCACACAAAGGCAGAGAGGCTCCCTGCGAGGAAACAGGCGGCCCTGCATGAGAAGGCCTCTCCCACCCCCCTCCCAGCCCAGGATGGCCGGTCCCACCCAGGGGCCCGCGGGCTCACCGAAGTAGGGCTCCTCGTCCGCTCCTTTGAGATGCACCCCTTTGGCGGAAGACTCGATGAGGAAGTGGCGGATAAGGTCACTGCTGTCCTCTCCTGGACAAAGAGAGAAGAGAGCGTGCAGGTGGGTGAGAGACCCAGAGCCCAGTGGTAGCCCTCCTGACCCGCCTCCTCCGGGCCCATCCGAGGTTAACTGCCCATCCTCCTGCCTCTGGGAAGCCCATCTCTGAGGCCTCCCCTCCCGCAAAGGAGGTGCCAGCCCTTCTGCTCAGAGGCTCCCGCATCCAGTACTGGTCCCTTCAGCAGACCTTTCTCTAGGTCTGAAGAGCTCTCAGGGATGGTTTTAGATGACTGTTCAGGTCAAATCTCTTCAGCCTGGTCCTCTCTCCCCATCCTCCCTCCCTCCCAGGCCCCATTATTCTCCACCAGATGGTCCCTGCCTGAGCCCAGCTGGCCTGGGAGGCTGAGCAATGGCCCCTGCTGGGACTAGAACCCACCTCGCCCACTGGCCTCCTCTCTCTGGCTCCTGGGCAAGGCTTCCTTGATAACCAACACCACCCCGGGGGGCACGCCCTTATGTAGTCGGGGAGACACAGGGTAGAGAAGTCCCCGTTGGGTTTTCATCCTTGGTTTTTCACTCTCTCACTTACTTGTTCTGTGGGGGGGGGGTCACCCACTAACTCTTGGTGCCTTAGTTACCTCATTGGTTTGCTCCCCCATCAGACTGGAGACTCCCTGAGGGCCAGGGCTGCAATCATGGGGTTTAGGGAGGCACTGCCACCCAGGAACCTCACACTGTAATGATCTGTTTGTGATCTCCTTCCCCAGGGCGGTACCCTGGTGCCATCCACGGTGCCTGGTGCCCTCCACGGTGCCTGGGGCGGGTGGATGCCCACCCATGTGTGCTGCGCCTGTGAGACCCCGGGAAAGTAGGCCATAAGCTGTCACACACGTTTTACATTAGTTCCCTCGTGATAAATCCGGGCTGGGAGGAGGTGGGCTCCCAGAAGAGAGCAGCCAGGAGAGGGCCTGGGTCTTCCTCCTCCTTTTCCCACCAGGAGATGATTGGGGAGGCGGAGGCAGCTCAGATCACTGTGAAAGGAGCTGCTCCCGGCGCTGGAGAGCAGCTGGGAGGACCGAGGCGGACCCTCCCCCACGGGAGAGGGCCTGGGTCTTCCTCCTCTTCCCACCAGGAGATGATGGGGAGGCAGAGGCAGCTCAGATCGCTGTGAAAGGAGCTGCTCCCAGAGCCTGGGGCGCTGGAGGGCAGCTGGGAGGACCGAGGCGGACCCTCCCCCAGGAATCACTGTAGGCCTGGCCCAAGGACACCCGGCAAGCTAGCAGCCGAGCTGGGACTAGGACCCACCACACCCACTGGCCTCGGAGAGGCCTTGAGTGAAGACAGAGACTGGTGCCTACCTGATCGGTTCTGGGTAGGCGTGGGGGCCTCCTGCACCTTCAAGGCAAGGCCGAAGGAGCCTCGGAATGAAGAACTGTCCCTCATGACGAAAGCCCCCGGCTCCTCCTTCCTCAGCAGCTCGATTGCTGGAATAATTCTTGGGTCAGAGACAGTTCCCGCCCCACGCGCACACCCTTTCCTTTACCTTGCTCTCGGGTGATGCTTGGCTTAAACCAGTACTTAGAGGTGTCCATCACGAACTTCATGGTGGGCTGCATGTCCCTGGCGGGACCTGGAGACGAACAGAGAAGGGGAACCCTGTAGGCTGGACAGAGGGGAGCTGAGAGACCCTCCTCCATCCCCTGCCCATTGGCCCCATTCAACCCACCCTCTCCTACCCCAACCCCATTGTATCTCCAACTGCCTAAGGACCCAAAATCCAACAGAAGAATTTCAGGGCTTGGCGCATCTAGGATTTAGGAGTCTTCCCTTGCATCCTTGGTATCAAGGGCAAATAGATAAAATTCTCAACTTAATGAGCAATAGTTTCTCACATCTAGTGTTGCCTGCTGGGGACTGAAGTAAGGGATTAATAGGTGAATCTGAGATGCATCATTTGTTTGACTTCACACTGTCTTCTCACTTCCTAGTCACTTGCAGCACATCCTTGGAGGTAGAATGTATATTGTTTTGTTGTTGTTTTATTGCCGGAGCCATTGCCTTCGCAGCAGAGATGTTTGCTGCTATCAGAAGGCAGTGCACCCATACGTCCCATTCCCCTCGCAGTGAGGCCGGGCCATGTGACTGTTCGTGGCCAATGGGCTGTGTGTGGAGGATTTAAAATCGTGAGGCCCGGCCGGTGTGGCTCAGTGGTTGAGCGGTGACCTATGAACAAGAAGGTCACGGTTCAATTCCTGGTCAGGGCGCATGCCCAGGTTGCCGGTCGATCCCCAGTGTGGGGTGTGCAAAAGACAACTGATCAATGATTCTCTCTCATCATTGATGTTTCTCTCTCCCTGTTTCTTCCTCTCTGAAATAAATTTATTAAAAAAAACACCCCAAAACAAACAAACAAAAAAAACCCTCGAGGTTCTTTTATGCTCCAGTAGCCTATGACGTTACAATGGATTTTGTTGTGAGAATATATTGCAGAATCTGATAAGATCCCAGGGTTTAATTAGTGATATCCTGGGGCATCACCAAACCCGGGTGGGACTCTCACCACACTGAGTACATGTGCTGTGTGAGATGCCAAAATGCCCATTTTCTGGGTCCCGAGGGCAGAGAGCCGTGGTTCTTAATTTCAACATCTTGAAAATGTGTGTTGTGGCCAGTTGAGCGTAACTCACAAAAACTGTACTAAAATCTGCAAATGATTTGTCCTAGGAAAATGGTCAGAGCAGATTCAAGGGCATATGTGTCGTGTAATTTGCTTGCATTGACATGGCTTCATGAGTGGGACTGAGCAGCCCATGAGTCAGCATTCCCCCCCCCCCTCCTCCGCCCCCTCCTGCCAGGAGTCACCTTGACACCCATCCTGTGGCCGAGGGAGGGCTGAGAGGCAAGCCCTGGGAGGGTGATGGCTGAGCGAGGAGGGACAGTGTCCCCGGGGCTTGGCAGGGGGCTCTGTTCACGGGAGAGGAGCCCCCGGGGTGCTAAGGCTCAGCCTGTGTTTACTGCTTTGGGTTCTGGTTGGTTTTGCTCTCTTGGATGCCTGCAGTCACAGACTCAGGGAAGTAGGGTGTTTGCCGGTTTGTGGTTTTCGCTGTCTGAACAGAATGCATTGTCTCCGTTACCCTGTCCCCCCTCGATCTGCCCTGCTCGTCACCCACCAACGTCAGCGTGACGACTGACTGACTCTCCCTCTCTCTCTCACGAGTTAGTCATGGAGCCTGCTGCTTCCCTATCCGGAGGGTCTCCTGGCTCTGTCCCCTCTCCTCCACCCCCGCCCCACCCTGCTTCAGGCTCCGTTTCGACTTGTCTGGATCACATCATCATAAAAGTCCAAACAGAACCAAATAGAAACTGCTCTCCCTGCCCAGGCCAGGCCCGTAATTCATCTGCCATGCAGCTGCCAGGGTGATTTTTGACCCCATCAACTCTCCTGTTTGAGACCCTCCGATGGTCTCCCGTAGCCTATAGGGTAAAATCTACCCTTTAGGCCTGGCCAGCGTGGATCAGTAGTTGAGCATCGACCTATGACCCAGGAGGTCATGGTTCAATTCCCAGTCAGGGCACATGCCCGGGTTTCAGGCTCAGTCCCCAATGTGGGGTGTGCAGGAGGCAGCTGATCAATGATTCTCTCTCATCATTGATGTTGCTATGTCTCTCTCCTTCTCCCTTCCTCTCTGAAATCAGTAAAAATATATTTAAAAAAAAATCTGCTCTTAAGCTTGGTGTTCAAGGCCTGTTGCAATCTGGCCCCAAATTACTCTCAATGGCCTCACCCTGCACCCCAAATCCCAGTCATTTCCTCAACGTGCCATGTGCTCCACACTTCCCGACTGCGAACTCTGTTCCCTTTGCTGGGAACCCCCTTCCTCTCCTGCTCTGGCCATGGGCTTGGGATCTGCTTTCCAGATCCGGCGAAGATGTCACTTCCTCTGCGGAGCCTTCCCAGCTCCGCAGACGAAAGGGATCACTCCTCCCCTCTGTGGCCCCATAAGACTTAGAACATTTCTTTACCCCCGTTGTTTATCCTACTCCAGTGATGGCAAACCTATGACATGTGAACTCATTTTTTTTGGTTGATTTTTCTTTGTTAAATGGCATTTAAATAGATAAAATAAATATCAAAAATATAAGTCTTTGTTTTACTATGATTGCAAGTATCAAAAAATTTCTATATGTGACACGGCACCAGAGTTAAGTTAGGGTTTTTCAAAATGCTGACACGCCGAGCTCAAAAGGTTCGCCATCACTGTGACCTACTCTATAGTTATCCTTGATTTTGGCCTCTCTTTCTAGACTGTTTTCATCCCTATGTCCCCACCACCTGGCACAGTGCTGGGCACGCAGTAGGTACTCAATCAATGTGTTGACTGAAACCACGGGTGCTTGT